ATGGAACACTATTCCTTTTCTGGACGCTAATGCTTGGCCTTTCTTCTTTGATAGCTGCATTCAATTTATCCAGCTGATTGCAGTACAGATCCGCGTTGATATGGTTTTTCCTGTTTCAGCAACTCGTAATACACTGGACCTTTCCTGTCCCACCACAAACAAAGCAGTACTTTTCGTTGATGGATACTTGGTTTTTGGAACTGTTGCTGATGATGTTCCTGGTTTGGCAGTAAGATTTTTTCTTTTAATAAAGTAAAGAATCCACTTTTCATCTCCAGTAACCAGCCTGTCCAAAAAACGGCTCCCCATTGTGTCTAATCAGATGTGATGAACATATTCTTACACGATCAGACAAATTCTTTTCCGTTAATTCATGTGGAACCGAAACACTTTGCTTTAACACAAACCCAAGAGATTTAATGTGATTTCCAACAGTTGTATGATGAATGCCAAACTCTTCTGCAATTTCTCGACTTGTTAAATGTGGATTATTTTCCAACATGGATCGCAAAACATCATTATTGATCTTGGATGGTCGTCCAGATCGAACACTTTCTTTGAGGCTCAGGTCCCCGGAACGAAATTGCTTAAACCATCTTTGACAAGTACGAACATTTACAATATCTTTTCCAAATACCGCACATAAATTTTTACATGCAACAGATGCGTTGCTTCCTTTTTGGAATTCATATAAAATGCAGTGTAATAAATGCACTTTATCTGCCGACATGTTTTTCCCTTTAAATATTACAAGTAAATGATGAATGGTAAAAAAGGGCACCTTTTATATTATACAGCAGCTAAGAAAACAAAAACAAAAAAATCGATTAACTCACTAGCCAGATGTTTTTTTTTTTTTTTTACAAGAAAAATCACTGCCTATTTAAAATAACAGAACTTTCCCTCCAACCCGATAATAATATATTAATTGTCATTTATATGCGGAGATGTCTGAATAAATGCAAAAAACCATCTGAATAAATCTTAGCCAACACTATTCAGATAGTATTCTTGTTTTCAAGGTATATCATTTTTTATTTTGTTCTTTTTCCATTAAAGGAGCTAACCTAAGAGACTTATTTCATTTATATATATCTCATTGATATATTATAAATATAGCTTAAACATGTTTTATGTGCATACTCAAAGGGGTGGGGGGTGGGAAGTAAGCCTTGATTCAAAATCTGTTTTAAAGCAATAAGTAAATAAATAAAATACACTGGTTCTATTAGAATGTCAAAAAATACTGTTATGTATTCTATAAACAAATCCAAATTATCACATCATATACATAACCCTGGTACAAAAGAAGAAATGTCGGATTAGGAACATACTCTATTTATTTGGTAACAAAGAAGAGTAAAACATATGCAACATCACATTATGAAAAAATCCTGCAAGCCATTACAATACTATAAGACACTGATTAGTAAGGTAAACATCAGTTGATCATTCTTTCACAACAGCAATAAATGTTTCATTCAAAATTCCTAATAACATGCCAAAACAGATTCACAATTGATGCCTCATTTAAGGTCACACAAAAGTAAATCCGATTTAGCTGACTATGAGATCTTCTATTGTAGAGGACTTTCTTGTAAGGAGAACTGGCTTGTATTCACATTACACATGGGGAAAAACCAACCATGCAGCCAGTCTGTTCGGAAATAGAACAGAAGATGGAACTCCCAGCATTAAGTAACTTTAACCATTCAGCTGTTGGTGGGCCTAATTATTATTCGAAGAGACAAGCAGCAATTTTTCAGTGACAACTACTCTACTTTTTTACAGACAGAACTGAACAGCAAAAAAACTTCTTAAACTCTTGATTAGATTCTAATTTACTTTCTTCCTTTTAAAAGCAGGAGATGCAAAACTTTGCCGCTGCTGCCTTTTATTTTGAAGAAGCTTCTTGAGACCAATTCCACGGGCAGTCAAATAATATTTTATTATCTTTGTTTTGATATTGCAACAGGAGGGAATATTTACCTCGCCTGCTTTCTTACAAATCATATTAACAAATTCCACATCCATAGTTACATTTCCATGTATTATTTCGTCTCGAAAATTTTGAATTATTTTTTCACACAGAAGGCACAATTTAAAAATTTCTGGAGAAGGACATTTAAGCCCACCTAAATTTGCAAAATTAATTATGTACTGCTTATTTTCATCAATGGAAGGAGTATTTTGCTCACAAACTAAGAGAAACTGTGAGCATGAATTACAAGCATTTTTCAAAACAGAATTTATTGCAGCTCCTGCAATATAACAGACGTTATTTTCCTCACTAAGGGTGAGATTCTGTAGAGATACATCAGAAACTTCTGGTATGGTAACAGGCTCTAAAGCTTTTTTTTTTTTTCTCCTTCAGAAATTCAAATTCATCTTTCGCATAGTTTAATAAATAAATATCTGAGTCAGTAGCATAACTGGAGTTCTTAATGTCAGATATAATGTGAAATAAACAGATAAGCTTTAATGCTTTCGCAGCTTGCAAAGCACTTGGCCTCAAACCAGCTTTTCTGCGTATCTGAGAAAAAATACATTTTCTAGAGCATCTTGTGTCAATCTGCTTGTCAAAATAAACTGGAAATCATTCAGAAAACATGCCTCTGCTAACTGTATGGCTGATAAAGTAGAGAGAATCAAACCAGTATGTAATGGTTTCCACCCTTTACCAATTTCTATAAGCTGTATAACATTAATAAATTCAAAAAGTAACTCAATTTTTTTGCTTTTATTTGTCACAGAAATTGAGTTCTTTCTACATCTAGAGGATAGCATTTGAAACCACTGACATATAAATCTTATCCACCATACTGTTGTAAGAGCATTAGGGCTTATCTCTTTTAAAGCTACTGCCTTCTCCAATCCCACAGCTGTTTTAATTAAAAAAAAACCTCACAGCAGAAGCAACATTCATTTTATCAAAATGTGAGGGGAAGAGGTCTTCTTTACTGAGATGATGCATAGTTCTCAAACCATAATTTTGGTTTGTTTCAGTAAACCAGATATCTTTTAATAAATCCTGCAGATACATGCAAAGTAACGAAATTTTCTTTACTGCAAACATAACTGGGCAGTTTTATACTATGATTAAGAGTTGCAGACCAGAGATTTTTTAAAAGATGTGGCACATCTGCAAATACATAAATAATTTTGCCCTTAATTTCAGTAGTGAAATTATTTCTTTGGTTTCGAGAAACAGAGAACAGATATTCCCAAAGAATTCCACAGGCTTCTATTTACTGCTGCCATATCGCTAACAATACCAACAACATTAAATCCAACAGAATTGACAGCTTCGATAACATTGACAACAAGTTGTTTCAGCTGGCATCCTGTTACCTGTCCAGTTATCTCATGGGCAACCACTTGCTTCCATTTCAGCTTCAGAACCTCTTAGTAAAATAACTAAATAGTGATTTCCTGCACCCTTTTGATTTCCTAATGTACATTTACCAATAAATTTACGTTTTGAAATATCAAAATCAGGATTGCCAGAAATCTCCATTTCATCCAATGATAAAATACAGTCTTTATCACTAGCATTCATTTTTTCTCCTTTAATTTTCAAAAGTTCAATCATGTCACTGATGACTCCAAAATTCATTTCAAGACCTTGAAGTCTTTTATTTAAAGTGCTGTATGAAGGCACAGGAAAACCTATTCTGTGCAAGTAATTATAACCATGCTTGCCCAAGGCAAATCTAACTTTGAGGCCTTTTATTATTCCCTCGTTAGACCATTTTGCAATGCTTCTACGAGGAATTTTCAACATTGCTATTTGTTCATCTGAAAGAAATGTTTTCACTCCTTTCAGCAATTCCTCATGCTGTACTTGAAGGTCATGAAGTTGAATTTCAGTGCTATGCCATTTTTTTTTTTTTAAACATTAATTTCATTTTTTTGGTTGCTTGCTGTAAGTTCTTTCAGTAATATTTTGTTCTGGCATTGCAGAAGCGAGATCAATTCAGTCTGCTGTTTTATAAAAGTCCTTAAAAGAACATCCTGGAATAAAGAAAAAATCTATATGAATAATCATATATAAATCATAAAGAAGGGGGGGGGGAAACAACAAACAAAAAAGATCTGAAAGGTTTCAGATTTTAAATTACACCCAAAGGGGCTTTTTTTGACATTTTGTGTTTTACCTTTATTTATTAAATATCAAGTTTTTCACACTTAAACTATAAAATTCAGTTCAACAGCAATATTGCAAGATAATTTTAAAATGAGCATATCTTCAGAATTCCCGATTCATTGTCTCACACGCCGGAGATAAAAGTGTCTTTTCTGTACAACATTGCCATTGCTCGCTTTGAAATCCTCAAGTTTGTTAATCAAAAATTCGTTAAAGTTTTACAACATATAAAATCTATATTAAAACAAATTCCGAATTTCAAATTCGGGCTTCCAGATGTCCATATTCACAGTAGAATTAAGTCATTCAAAATTTGATGGCTCTAGGTACCGTTGTTTTATCAGAATGCGAAAAACATACATGCATTTATGCAGATTCTTCACTATATAATTTCTTTAAATATAGTACAGGGTGATAATATTTGGTGGCAACAATTTGAAAAGTGATGCAGCCGTTTATAGTGTTTCAATACAAAACGAAAACAATAGTCCTTCAGGGACAAAGCCCCTTTGGATTAAATGCCAAACTTAAACAGATAATAAATCCACAAAATAAAAATGAAACTTCCAGGTCTCTTTTTTAATTTGACTCTATTGTTTTCAGCATTTTCTAGATTATTTTTGTTTTATTTTCTAATATTTAAAATTTATTTCACTTAAAAATAGATTTTTAAAATTTATTTCCAGCTTTTCAAGGGATCGATTATCTCCATAATCATGAGCAATTTAATAACACAAAATTATCAACTTATATCACAGCCTTCACAAATGCTGATGAAATTAATTAAAATTAATTACAATTTGGTTGCAAGATGAATCTAAAGGTTGTTTTTGCATTTTTACATAGAGAATTTGCAACTATTGATGAAATTAATTACATTCCTTTTACCAAAAAATTACTTTATAGAACATTTTAAATGTATATAAGGAAGCAATTTAATAATACATTAATTATCAACTTACATCAGAGCCTTCACAAATAGATGGTATTTCATTGCAAAATGAGGCTAAAGGCTGTTCTTGCAAACAAACCTGAAATGTACACAAAGAATTTGTAAATGCTGATGAAATTAATTACATTCCTTTTACAAAAAACAAAACAAAAAAAAAGTTTATAGAAACGTTTTGTATAAGCAAGCAATTTAATAATACACTAATTATCTACTCGTACTTACATGAGATCCTTCACAAATAGATGGCATTTTATCACAAGATGAAGTTGAAGCTTGTTCTTGCAAACAAACCTGAAATATATATATATAAGAAATTTAGAAATACAGATAATATAAACTACATTCATTTTAAGAAATAATTATTTTACATAACATTTTATAATTCATAAATAGATAATAAATTGTTAACACTCAAAATTCAAAAATAATTCCATAGCACAACAGCCAGATATAGTACAGCTGTTTAGGAACCATAAGACAAACAATTTCATATTTCAGAAATCGTATAAAAATTCATTAATATATGTAAAACATATGACATTTAATAGCTGCTCAAATGAAAACATAGCATAGATTCTTTACTAGCAGCTGTTATTTAATCAGAAGGTAATGCTAAATGTTGTTGCAAACACACCTGAGATGTACTGTAATGTAATGTACACATTTGCAACCACTGGTGAAATGAAACAAAGTGCATGATTATGAAGATGGAAACATTTAAAAAAAACATAGTACAGTTTACGAATAGATGTTAAAAAACTATTAAAATTTTTTAGAAGTGCAAAATGGCAATTTACATCAAATACTTCGGCAGCAAAATTTATTTCTCCAAAATATGAAGCTGAAGGTTGTGGCAAATGAATCCTAAAAGAAATTATAATATATGAAATATGTGGAAGTGAAAGAAATTATAAACTCTGATCGGATAAAAAAAATAAATACAAATAATCATTACCATTTTAAAAGTAACTTTCAACTTATAAAAAAGCATAAATACATTGGACTGTTCATAGCATTCATACTTCTTAAACATAAGTAAATATTACGTTAATATTTTTTAAATTTTAGAAACAGTGTTAATACTTTTTAGAAAAAGTTTATAATACTAAATATTTAATAACTGTTCAAATGAAGACTTACAACAGATGGTTCAGCAACAGAAATCGCTTCAGTTGATAAAGGTAAACTGTGCAGCAAGCCACCCTGAAGATGCAAAAATTATGAAAACACATATAAGTAAGGATACCTGAAAATGCTGATAAATAAAATATACTTAATGTAATTTTAATAATAAATAATATAAATAATCCTAATAAGTTTTGTAAATCTTTAAACAAAAAATAACAACATTCAGACAAGACATATAAGACATTAAAATATACATTTAAATCAATGTATTATAACTATATTATTGTATTACTCAAGATTAAAGTTATTAATTTCAATATTATTTCTTTTACTTATACTATTTCTATATTCATATATTTCTCTATTTCTCTATTTATCTGGAATTTAAAATTAAGCAAAAAAGCAACTTTAGTTTAATACAAATTTTGATTTAAACTCTTTTGACTTTGAAGGCAATCAGATACAGGTTTCTTTCTTTTAGGAGCAAATTTGAAGAAAAACCAGACCCATGTATGACTGTCCTCGAAAAACTACAAAAACTTTATCCAAAAACTCAAATTGAGGTTTTATGCCTAATTTTCAATATATGATTATAATAACAAAGTACATACTTAATTATATATATAACAACAGCAAAATTTTAATTTTTTAATCTAATCTTAGGGACTGTAATTACAGCTTTATCACATAATGCCTTAATTTCAATATTTTGATTCTTTTATAAAGCAATTTAGTCCATTTGTAATAAAAACATATTTTTTTATGAAAAACCATAAAAATAAAAAACACATACATTACAAAAAAATTGGATGTAACTGAACGGTGTGCTTTGGTAAACCAATGCCTTTTAGACGCTGTGGGGTCAACAGTTGTGGGGGGAGGCACATTGAAAAGAGTTGGCACAGCATTGGGCTTGAGTTTTTTACGCCCATCTTGCCTAGAGCATTCAAATTGATTTTCTTCAAAATGTACCTGCATATTTAACAAAAGCATGCATGAAATTTAACATTAAAATCAAAAGCACTAGTATTTAATTACAGTTACATATATTATATTAATTTAAGAATGTAATTTTCTGATAAATTTAAATTTTTTTTTATGAAAATAGAACAAAATTTTTAAAAAGTAATCATGTTTGTAAAACTACTTAAAACATATTTCCTGCTCACACACTAAAAATAAAGTACCTATAGTTAAAAATACATTAAGATTTACTACTACAATAAAGGATAATAATGGGATCAAAACGATTCATCGAATATTTAAATTAATATTTAACTTCTTAAAAATGTCTAAAAATACAGAATATATTTATCTTACTATAAAGAAAAAAACAAAATCATTTATTATTTGGATCATACCATCCAGTTTTTAACATTGGCGCCAACTATCCGATTTGGCGACAATACATCAGAATCAAAACATAGAATGCTACTTTAAATCACCAATCGTACAGTAAAATTAAAGAAAAAGGCACATCACATTTCTAACTGAGCACAAAGTTTACATGAAATGTATGATACAAATTTTACAAACGGTATAAACTTTTCACGATAACAAAAGAAACAACATGAAACAACGATATTTTACTGCACAAACACATACACATTCCGCAGTTGATTTTGTACTTATAAAATCAGTTGATCGTCAATAAGTGACAGTTAAATGAAAATAAATATTTTAAAGTACCAAGAAGAGTAATTTTTCTAACATTCTATGGAAAAATACGAAGCTGAACTTACCTCACAAAGATACGCTCCTGGGCCCGGGATCCATTGATCTCGACGAGAATTAACTATCCATTTTCTTCGTCTTCTTTTTTCATTTCTAGGGAAACGAAACATCCTAAAGTTATTTTTATTTTTAGACTGATTCGAACAATTTGGTGCAGCACAACCACCCATATTTTCTGAAAATTAGGTCGGAATCGATCCACAAATATGTCAAGAAATCAGTGCTAAATCCAATAGCGAATACCAACAAGTTAGCTTCAAAATGGATGATGATTCAGCTCCCCTTTATAGTAGCCTTAACGCCCTTTATATTGAGGTAAACATTTGAAAAATTTTTTTCCGCTTTAAAAGGAACTTAATTATCATCCGAATGCAGTTTCTCCTTAAAAAATTAAATATTTCCATTAAGGCGATGACGTCAAGCTAATATAAACATAAACATCGTTTCACAAATTTTGTAGTGTGTTCTTTTTTTTTTTTTTTTTTTAAGTGCTTATTTTATATACTACATAACCAGTGAATCTATTCTCCAAATTAATCAGCTTGAAAATGTACGTAAATTGTTAATAGTACTTTTCTACTAATTATAATATGTCTTTGCTATGTTTTAATTCAATTGCTTTCAATTAAACCTGAATTTTGGCTAATCGCGAATGCTTTCTCTAGTATTAACCTGGCTAATCAGGAATCTAATACTCTAGCTACGCATGTTTTTCTGCTATTAAGTACAACAAGTCTGTCTTCATAAGAAAAGCTCTCGCCGGTTAGTCTGCAGTTGTCTGCTGCCGTAGAAATGAGCCTTGACCCATTTTCCGTAGGGGTGTCTTGAAGATTTACTTTTCAGTTTGCCATCTTGGCTCGTTTGAAGATGAACTGGAAAACCCTTGGTTTGCTCCTATTTGAAATATGCTACCCATATTGCTATAGCGACCGCCACCCGCTAAACACTGCGGCGGGAACTGTTTAGTAGACAGACAGTACAGACTCTAATAAACATTACTGTAAATAGATCAGTACATCTCTAAACGATAGAATTCGCAATATTAAACCATTGACCTTGGCTATGAAACAAGCATGCAACCAGCTGGGTTTTACCTGGATTTGGGACAGCTCTAAGGCGTTGGCTTTATATACACACACATAAGGATTAAAGCCCCGCCGTAATCGGTGAAAAAAATTAAACCCTCAGGAGTATTACTGTAGCTACCATAGCATTTTACTCTTCGATTCCATCGCAGAAGTAGACACTAGTATTAAAAGTTTTCCGACAGGCAGATAGGAGATTCGCCACAATGTGTCAACTGGTGGGAGTAGGAAACATGATATGGAGGGATGCAAAAATCCTTGAAGTCTCTGATATACACAGCAAAGAGGAAATCTGAGTACTAATAGATGATATGGAATTTACGCAATATATGCAGGTGCAATCACAATGCAAATTAATATGCATCATTGCGCTGAATTGCGAGTGGTTGTTTCAAAGGTGTTTTCAATAGCCAGCTAACTAAGCAATATCGGCATAATTAAGAGTTCATAATGTTCCTGAAAAAGTTTTGAGAACTTGCAAGAACAACATCACTGAGTTCAAACTCGCATTAAAAAGTCGGTTGGATTTTTTTTTTGTTTTTTTTTGTTAGAGTACAATGTTCATAGACTTCGAATTATAATGGTCATAGACTTCGTATAAATCATGTATAAGAATATGTATATATAAGAGCAACTCTTAAATACTATATTTCTACTTTCATTGCAATTATCCCACGCATATTACTTTTCCTTCATACATTTTCCATAGATAGCTTTGCTTGGCGCTGATCGTCTGCGATCGCAATTTTTGCATATTACACAGCAAACAAATTTAACTTTTTTAGACAAGGCCCGGTTAATCTGCAACGCAGTTAGTATGTCTCCCCCCTATTAATATTGGAAGTTAACTGCAAAACATTAAATTTAATTGCTTTCTGTTTTTGACGCGAAAGAACGTTTTAAAGAAATTTATAATCTTAAGAAAGATATTTCTGTTTCACTTCCTTGTATAAAGTAAAAGTATTGTAATCGCGAAAAATTTTGGGTATAATATTTTAAAGAAAATATATATTTTGACCGCTCTCGAATTCATTTCAACGATGTTTTTGCATGTCATATGTACGTACTAACAGAATACAGGACTCTTTTTCCCCAAACGGAGTGAAAAATGGACTTAAAATTGATTCAGATGAAATTTTATCGTGACGTCTGTACGTACATGTATATGTATCTACGTATCTCGCATAACTCAAAAACGAGTATCCTCAGAAAGTTGAAATTTTGTGTATTGGACTGCTATAACATGTATTTGTGCACCAATAATTGTATACTCATTTTGTTACCCGACTCGGTGAGGTTAGATATTTTATTCTTATACTCGTATGTAGGTAGATTGTTCATTTTTGGCTTTAAAAGGGATTCAGTTATGTTGTTCTTATGTTTTATGCCTTTCTCTAATCTGCATGCAGTAGTTGTAGAATTATCGAAAATTTAAAAGCTGTTTAAGTGCCACTAAACCTAACGAAATCGCCATTTGTTTACATTTTGGAAACTCATAGTAGAATAGGGAATTAAATGACTTTCTGCACTTTTAGTGTCTTTCTACCGAGTGGGACGAAATGTAAACTTTCAGTTTTGGCCGCTGAAAAATCTGTTTTCTTTTTCGCTGGCCGAATTGGTTGTTTTTGTGTAGAAACTTTAATTTTAATTGTAAAAAATTGTTTTTTTAATTGTTTTAACTGTATTTGGTGTTTTACATTTTTCTGTATTTTAAAATTTTTAACAAAGATGTTTTTGAGTTTTATGTATTTTTGACTTATCGCAAAGTGGGAACTGGATTAATTAAATGAGAAATATATCTGTAATGAAATTCGAGGAAATATGTTTAAATGAAATGCAGCAAAAAGATGTATATTCCGTACAAGGAAGACATGTGACGTCCACCTCAGATTTTTATATTAAGAAAAATGCTTATATTTGAAATAATTAGTCATTCGGCTAAAAAAAGCAATCGTATTTGTTGCCGCTTCACAAATGTCACATAAAAAACAAACGCCTTCTACGATGATATGTAGATTTCAAAAAATTGTGTCAACGATGAGGTGCCAATCCTTAGTTCAAGGCTCGCAATCTGGCAGTAAAATAAACAGTGTGCAATCTCTTAATTTATTCTTTCCGACTGCTAAAATGGCCATTAAAGTTGGAAAATGTAAATTCACTTGTGTTCTAGATCTCAAAACTATTGCCACAGAACGATAAGAATTGTTTAAAACTTTGTACCAAACTTCCAAAATACTTGCTAGATTCGGCCCAAATTTATACTTATTTGTTTAATTACTTTTGAGAGGGTTTCGTAAACATCCTTACTTGTATAATTGCTGCAGTTTTTCCGTTATGAAATTATAATGTACATTTTTATGGTAAATTTATGTTAATTACTAAATTGCATTTAAAGGTTCCTCATTCTATGTTACTAGAACAACTAGTTACGAAAATGGTTTCGAATGTTCTAAATATTGAAACCACAAAATATATTGTTCTTATTTAATTTTTATATATTTAAAGCCAAAAATAACGAAAATTCATACGGACCACTCCCCCCCCGGCACACTTTGCTAAAATAGAGCATTCTGAGAAATCTTTCGTAAGCCCAAATGATAAAAAGCGAACAAGCAATTACCATTACTTAATACGGGGGGATGTAGTTCCGGTCTCTACATTCCATAGAAAGAATATGTCTTTTTTGGAACCAGATTCTTGTTCTTTATTCCTATTTCTTATCAATCCTTCAGCAGTTTATAAGGTATTTTCTTCCTCCTTTCAGCATGCCTTCGTGGTGTCACGATAGCACACTCGATGCATATTCGAGAAATCTAGATTCTAGATCCGACGAGGGCATTGCTGATATCATCAGTTCTCTACATTCAAAATTATAAATTACACTACATTGGTGCCCTAACTAAAAAGGTAGTGGACACCAGAATTTGGCGACTGGGTCTCCTAATTCCTGGTCACCCTTTCAAAGGGGGAGTATATAAGGTATTTTCTACCTCCTTCCAGCATGCCTTCACGGTGTAACAGTAGCACATTCGGCGCGTATTCAAGAGGTCTAGATGCGAAAAAGCAACCTTGCATCTAGCCCGTTTGCCTGGGCTCGAAGCCGGGTCGAACTACCTATATTCAGCGGTCTTTACTATTCGGCTACTGCGGAGTGCTTCTATGTGATTTGAAAAGCCTTATCAGCATTTCGTATGAATGCAAATTCTAAAGTGATCGAAGATATAATATAAACGGAACTGAAAATGCAGAAGTTCGGCAACGAAACAAATTGAAGCATTTTTGAAAATTACAGAACGCATTTATATATCTGACATAGCTAAAGGAGAAGTTAATAAATTTCAATTGGTGATTGGTTTGTTTGATTTATGTGATTACAGCAAAGCCTCGAGGGCTACTGGAGAAAACCAGGAAAACGCCTAGCAGCCAGTTCGTTCGCAGGATTCTAACCTCGGACCGAACTACGAGTGTTCAGCGACTTCACCGCCCGGCCGCTGGTGGGGCTTCAGTTGATAAATACACGTAAACGAGAGAAAATGGCTCAATGCCCCAAACTTAGATGAAATTAAATAACTCTTTAAACAAGGGGTATGATTTCTGAGAACTAGTAACGCACGGATCACGTGGAAGATAAATTAAACACTTTATGTTTCACGCATTGGCAATATTTGTCTGAGACGAATGAATAATATACACTGAAATGCCACTGAATTAGGGACAGCTAGTCAATAACGAGTTGGGCCTTCTCTGGTCTTTATATTGGCTGCCAAACGACGAAGCATAGATTCAAAGCATTAACGAAACTTAAGCTTAACTTCCAGAAACTTATCAATGGAAGCATAACATCCATTAATAAGCTTCTGGAAGCAGTGTATGGGAATGGCTTACTAAACATCGGATAGAGCTATCTATAATTTAGGTAGACTCGCTAGTGTTGTGTTATGAGATTTCAAACCTTTTCTCAAAACGTCCGAGAGACGCTCTGTAGAATTTATGTCAGGGCTTTTAAGTAGCCAATTTATGACAGAGGATTTAGAAGAACGCTCATCCAACCAGGAAGTAGCCAACCGGGACCTATGAGAGGTGCA